AGATACATATATTAACTCATGGGGCATAATTTTACATTTTATTTGTCCATAATTATCTTTATGCCATCCGCCAGCAAAGGTATAAATACTGATGTATTTTTTATGACCTATTCTAAAACTACCTTTATACTAGTACTCCATGTGTAAAAAATTTCACTAAGTTCTATCACTATATTCTTGGACTAGAGGCGAAGCTTAACAATTTGAAAAATTATGGAATATTAAATATTATTAAACCAAAAAAAAATTAAAGTGTTTGCCTCTATACTTTGTGTTATTCTAGTGACGATGAATACTACTTGGTGTTAACGAATAATCTAGAGTTTAATAGTTTCTCTATAAAGGATTTTAAATCTTTTAATAGACTCTATTTAGAAACCTCAAATGATTTGGATGACTCTCATGTTAGAGATGCACCCCCAAAACTTTAAGAGGAGATTAAATAATGTTAGACAAACTAAAAGAAATAAACATGTAAAATCATTAATACCCTTATCATGTACTCAAAAGTTCTTTTTTGAATGTGGATGAGTAAAAAAAATGGTGAAGTTACTTTTAGAAGTTAAAGACTACTTTTCTTTAATTTATGAAGAAATTCTTAGATGATCTCTACATATAGAAATTCTTAAACAATAAGTACAACTTGACATGGTTAATTTAAATAAGCACTACATCGTATGAGAATAAAAATAAAATAACAAGTAATCATTGAACTCAAGAATTTGATTAAAGCTGGTTTCATTAAAGAAGAGAAATATTTGACCTAGTTATCCATTATTGTTCTAATAAGGAAGAAAAGTCGACATGTCCATATATGTATCAATTATAGAGACATAAATAAATCATGTCCTAATAATTAGTTCCCCTTGCCCATACCAAAACAAATGATATATATTGCCTCTTAGCCTATAATATTTCTCTTTTGGGTGGCCCATCTAGTTATAATCTGATTAAAATGGCTCTTGAAGATGAAAACTATACAATATTTAGAATGCTAATAAAAGTTCACTACAATATGGTTATGCCATTAAAACTAAAGAACACTGGAGCAACATACTAGTGGGTAATGAAAAGGATTATTAATAAACTTATCCAATAATGGGTTGATTGTTATGTCAATGATATAGTAATAAAAATCCATGGAATGGAAGACAATATGCACAATATAAAAATTACTTTCAACAAATTTAATAATATAATCATAAAAAGAATCCTCCAAAGTGTTCCTTTGATGTTACTTTTGAAAATTTTCTTGGTTTCATGGTAAGATATTGTTGATTTAAAATAGATTCCCATAAAAATTAAGTAATGTTATATATATTGGCAGCTAAAAGTCTTACTTAATAGAGATCTTTTTAAGGCCAGTTAATATACCTGATAATATTTATATCAAATATATCCTAATGATGTCAACCACTCAAAGCCTTATGTATGAATATGCTCGTTTCCAGTGGGATGACAAATATTATTATTATTATTATTATTATTATTTAAGAAAGCAAATAGCATTACTAAAGAAAGGGGTAAAAAAACCCTACAAAGAATAAGCTAAAGATTCGTCCTTCAAAATATTAAGAAACAAAGTATGAACCTTATCAAGAAAAATATCATTCCAAAAAAAAGTTGAAAAAACTCCAAAGTTAGCACCTAAGTCCGCTAACTTATTACATTCTCTTTTAACACAATTAAAAATAACATAATTAAAACTATCAACAAACAAAATTTTATCCATACCTTTACCTCCTTTTTTGAGAGACTTGTGGATGAACTTGATAACAATAGCATTATCAATCTCAATGATTATACCTTTATAACCATGCACCCGATCCTTGATCACATCCTTAATAGATTCTATAGCTAGAAACTCCAAGTAAGTGATTTCCCAATTCATATAAGGTCTTCCATAAGCTGCTACAAATCTTCCTTTGTGGTCTCTAATTACTCCTCCAATACCTCCTTTATAAGAAGGGAATAATGTAGCATCTACATTTACCTTGATCCAATCGGTTGGAGGAGAGTACCAACGATTTTCAAAAAGCAAAACCTAATTAGTACTCAACCGTCCCATGTTAATGTAATTAGGAGCATTGCATACTCCTACATAGCTTACCGCCTCAACAAATATAAGAACTAAACTTCTTTCCTTCTTCCCATGAATTAGTTCATTTCTCTCCATCCAAGTAAAGTAAATGGCATTACATAAAAAGCTAGAAAGAAATGCATTTTTTCTTACCATCCAATTATACATCTCCTCCTTATAATTGAAAAGAGGGATATGAAAACCCCACTTGTTCAGCTGCTGAATAACTTCTGCAACTTTGTTGCATCTGTAGGTCATATGACAAATATTTTCTTCCTCATAACAACCTCTAGGACAATAAGATATCCTTTGAAGTTTTCTATATGTTAAAAATGAATTGGTTGGTAATGCATTGTTTAAAACCCTCCACCAGAAATTTTCCCATCTAGCATTCAATTTTGATTTCTTCAACCATTTCCATACATCGTTATCATTGTATTGAGAGAAATTGCTACTAGCAGCCATTGAGGTAATTGTTTTCCATATTCCATGTGGATGAGTTCAATTTGATCTTCAATAAGCTCCATTTTTATATCAATCTTACAGATGATTTCCACTAGGTCCTTCCCGAAAAATCTTTGTAGTTCTAGAGTGCACCATTGATCTCCCGAAATAAACCTTTCCACTGTTGAGGATCCAACCATTTCTTCTTGTGAATTGACAAATGTAAGCCATTTATTAAGGCATTTGTCCAAAATCCATGTGTCTTCAAAGACATCAATAGATTGACCATTTACTATATTCCACCTCACAATTTTCTTAAATAATTTACTTCCATCTTTGATGAGTTTCCATGCCGTAGAAGTGGATTTATTTCTGTTCTCAGCATTCCAACAGGGACCATATCTAGGATACAAAATTTTATTGAATAAAGAGTCTTCTTCTTTTAAATATTTCCAAGCTAATTTGGATGTTAAAGGACCCAATTTATTGGAACAAGAATGTATCCCTCTGCCTCCATACTCTATAGGTTTATACATTTTTTCCCAGCTTATATAGTGCAAGCCGTGATCCTCATTCGACTTGTTCCAGATGAAATTACGGCAAAATTTATCAATTTCTCCTAGAACATCTCTTGGAACCAGAGAAATTGTGGAATGAAATGATGGAAGAGAAAGGATAACGACTTTACCAAAGTGATTTTGCATGCTAATGATATGAACTTTAATCCCCAAGTATTGAGCTTCTTCAGTACTTTATCTATCATGAATTGAAAGTCCACCCTTGAAAGTCTTCTTAATGCCAATTTCATTCCAAGATGATTGAACTCTTTTACTTCTTTGAATCAAATAATAATTTTAATTTTTCTTTTCTTTCTGGTTTTGACTGCTTTCCCAAAAAAAATTCCATACTTGCTTATTTTTACCTTTTGGCCAGTCCAATCACAATACTTCTTGATGATGCCTTTGATAATCTTCACTTTTTTAAACTTTGCTTCAGCAAAGAAAATGATATCATCCGAATATAGCAAATGCGAGATCCTTGGGCTATTTTGGCTTACCCGAACACCAATTTCTACCTTCTCCATTATGGCATTAGAAAGGAGCTGAGAACACAGAATAAAGAGGTAAGGTGCAAGGGATTTCCTTTTCTAAATCCACTCCTGGCATTGATCCAACTGGAAGGAATCCCATTCATCAAAATAGAGAAAGAAGGTTTTTGAACACATTCCAAGATTAGCATAGAGAAGAAATCAGGAAATCCAAAATAAGATAGAACTTTATGCAGAGTTGGCCACCCCATTGAGTCATAAGCCTATTCCATGTCTAACTTGATTGATACTAGACCTTTAGCTACTTTACAGTATCTAAATTTATGAAAAAGTTCTTGTGCAATCAACACATGATCTTGAAGAGACCTCCCCTTAACAAAAGCTGCTTGCTCTAGAGAGATTAGTTTTGGAATGATACCATTTAATCTATTGAGAAGATCCTTGGAAGCAATCATGTAAACCATATTACGAAGGCTAATAGGTCTATAGTTATAAGCATATTTCAGATTGTTGATTTTGGGAATAAGAACAATAATAGTTCTCTTCCAATCAGCATTCATTTCAACCATTTCAAAGAACATTTCCATGGCTTTCCAGAATTCTATTTTAATCATAAACCAATAAATTTTAAGGAAGGAATAAGAAACTCTATCCTCAACTGGCGAAGTGAACCCAGTAGTTTCTCTTATAGCCTTTTCCACTTCCTCAATTTTGAATTTGTTATTTAACTGGATTCTATCCTCCTCTTCCAGCTGATTTTGATTATTCGGCCAACCTTCAAGAAAGCATCTTCTATCACACCATTTGTTTGTGAAGAATTGAATTAATACATCTTCAATTTGATTTTATTCCTCCACCGTGATCCCATTACCATCCTTAATGTAAGAGATGTGATTTGTATTCCTTCTAGCACTAGCGACCGAGTGAAAAAGTTTAGAATTTTGATCACCTTATCCAATACATTTTACTTTGGATCATTGACTCCACCACGTGCTCAATCGTGCTAAAGTAGAGTTGAGTTCATTAATTTTAAATTTCATCAAGTAATAATCATCTTGAGATAGCACACTAACCTCTGCTTCCTTATATCGAAGTTTTATGATTTCTTCTTTGAGCGAGTCTTTCAATTGATTTAAGTCTTTAAGCATGGCCTTACTTGAAAAGAATAAGGATTTAAGAGTTCTTTTCATCTTTAAGTTAAGAATATCAACTGTCGAACCAGAATCATTTTTGTCCCAAGCTTTCTCCACCACTGCATAAGAAGCTGGGTATGAGGCCCAGATATCCTCAAATTTAATTGATTTTTTTAACATTAGAAGATTTTTCTAAAGTGTTAAGGAGAATTGGACAATGATCCGAAGCAATCCTGGGGAGAAGCTTAACCACCATATGCTAATTATAGTTAACTAAAATTTAATTGACCATCATTCAATCTAATCTATCCATAATCCTATCTGCACCTTTCTTGTTGTTGCTCCAAGTTAGCCTAGGACCAACGAATCCTAGCTCATGAAGATCATTAGACGCCATGAAAGATTTCATCTCTTTGGGCCCCAAAGAAAATGAAAATATCCTACCACCCTTCTTATCTTCTTTAGACAAAAGACAATTGAAGTCTCCACCAATTACCATAGGCAAATCATTGGTGATAGGAAGTTCTAACCCATCCCAAAGAAATCTTCTATTATAGACATCTTTGCTTCCATAAATAGTAGCAATACTCCATTTCCCCTTGTTAAGTATATCCAAATCACCAATAGTGAATTGGGATGAAGATTCTATCATGCTGAAATTAGCCAAGCTACTCCTCCAAAGCATAAGAATTCCTCCTGACAATCCAGCAGAAGGCACATAACTTAAGTCCCAACCAGTTCCAATAAATGATTCCACTTCTTTATGCTTAATAGAGACCATTTTAGCCTCCAACAGCCCAACAAAAAGAACATTGTGATCTTTCACACCTCCTTGAGGTAGAGAGAAGCCTTTTTTCTTGGCTCCTCTACAATTCTATATCAATATAGAATTCATTTATGGATCAGTGGGGAAGAATTCCCCCCTTTCTCCTTATCATTTCCTTTCGCCTTCCTACTTGTGGATTTTATATAGATGGGTTCCAAACCTTTCAATTATTTCACACCTTTCTTTTTTACTATGGAGGAGCTACCTTCCTTAACTCACGATTCTACATCTTTAGAAAATGTAGATTTCGGCATAACCTTCTAGATTGTATCCCTATCCAGGACTAAAATATATGGAGCTATATTCTCTTCAGTCATCTCACCTTCTTCAGAAAAATTTCCCAAAGCTTCAAATTTATTTTTATAAGCAGGAGTTTCTTCAGCTATAATAGTTTTAACAGTGCCCTCTTCTATCTTTTTTCGAATACCCAATCTAGCACAATAGAATGCTTCTTTTGAAGGAGGCTCTATCTTTTTACCTTCTTCAATAGAATTCAATTCAATTGGATATGTTAATGCATGTTCCAACATATCTTTTCCACCAATTGCTTCAATAACATTAGTACTACTGGGATTGACACCACCATTGGATTTTTTTTGCCAGAATTGATTCATGTTTTGTTGAAAGAGAAATAGGAATTTTCTTTTTTTTGTAATCCACATAAATTCATGGTCCATATACTTCTCCATTATCATCACTACATGAAGACAGAGCTTGTGAATTTCAAGTTGGATCTGTAACTACCAACTTCTCTTTACTGACTGGAGCTTCCCCATTTTGCTTAATACTGATTAGTAACATTTTTTTCAAGCGTTCCTCTTTTAGATGACTGAGCTTTCCAAAGTTGAAGCAGAAGGTAGACAATCTTTCATATTCTATGTTCTGATAAAATTTTCCCAAATCACCTTCCACCCATACTCCCAAAGGTAATTTCTCATCGAGTTTGACTCTCACACAAACCCTTGCAAATTCTCTTCTACTCCACTGGAACATGTTCCCATCGATCAAGTAAGGAGTGCCCACCATGGATGCTATCCTACAAACATTAACTTCATCCCAACATTGAAGAGGAAGATTGGGCATTAAAATCCAACTTGGAGCTATGAGACCTTTGAATGAAGAAGGTGAAAAAGCAGCCGTCCACCTATCCATGCCCACTATGTTACCATTAACATACTGTTAAGAGAGTTGTTATTTGCATGTTTTATATTCTTACAACTTGTATAGTTTTTGATGATTCCAAATATTATTGTTCCAATTATTATTTTCTCCTAACATTTTTTGGAAGAATTGTGTTTGCTCTTGTGTGAACTAACATTTTAGAATAATCGGACTCCAGAATACTGAAGACTTCAAATCAAATTCAACATATCATATTTTGTAAATTGAAGTATGTATTTTTCACTTTATTGAGTCAGAGAGAGTATGATTGTAATTGAGCAACCTAGCACACACACACTGAGGGGGATCTTTAAAAGGCCAAAATTTTTTTTACTGATCGTACGGGACGAACATTGTTCGTATGGGACGATCAAGTCAGTTATACCCCTCGGAGAGCAATGGAATGAACAGGAAAGTAAAGAATTTTTTTTAAGTCCTGATCGTCCAGACAAAATGCCAAATTCGTCCATGGATGATGTCCTCTGATTTATCATTTTGAACTGTTACTACAGAAGAAATGGTCTGTTCGTCCCAAGATGAACTTCTCTAGATTCATAACTTGAACTAATCATTCAGATGAAATACATAGTTTGTCTCTAGATGATGTCCTCGGGATCCTCACTCTGAACTGATCATCCATACAAAATACCCAGTTCATCCCTAGACGATCTCCACTGGATCCTCACTCTGAATTGATCGTCTAGATGAAATACCAGTTTTTCCCTAGATGATCTGCTCTGGATCCTCTCTATGAACTAATCGTTCAAACTAAATACTCAGTTCATCTCTAGATAATGTCCTCAAGATTCTCATTTTTAATAGTTCATCCAGATGAAACAACCCATTCGTCTGAGGATAATCTTCTCGAGTTTCAAGGTTAATAATGTTCGTTAAGACGAACATTAACATTCAACCCAGGACAATGTTCTATGTTCTTTTAATATATGGATTATCTGTAATTATGTTTCAACGTGGCTTTAAAATAACTGTTCGTACCGGACGAACATAGTTCGTACGGGATGTGATCGAGTACAAAGTCACCACGTCCCAATGCACATAAGAGTTCGTACGTAACATTTTTACACTATTCGTACGTACAAACTCTTGATCATACGGGATAATCATGTACATACCTAATTAAAAATTAGTAGTTTTAAGATGGTTTTTTATGTCTCTCAGATAAAAGGTCCTATGTAAACTGCCTTATAATTTTTTTGGTCATTGGTGTTCGTGCTTACTGAAAGAAGTTTGAAGGAGAGAGTGAGAGAGAGTGTTTGAAGGAGAGTTCCTACCATTGGAGCATGAAGGATTCACATGATACTCAAAGGTAAGGATCTCAACTTTGGGAATTGTGATTACTTCACTCTTTTCTCTTGTCCTTCTAAATTTCTTTTGAGAAGATCTTGAAAGGAGATTCGGTTCTCTGCCGACACTTGGAGAGTGTAAAAGAAAAAAAGGTTCTCCGCCTACACTTGGAGAGTGTGAACAGTGGGAGGTACTCTGCCTACACTTGGAGGATGTAAAAGTTTGGAAGGTTCTCTGCCTACACTTGGTGAGTGTGAACAGCGGGAAGGTTCTCTGCCTACACTTAGAGTGTGAACAGTGGGAAGGTACTCTGCCTACACTTGGAGAGTGTGAACAGCAGGAAGATTCTCTACCTACACTTGGAGAGTGTGAACAGCGGGAGGTACTCTGCCTACACTTGGAGGGTGTAAAAGGATTACGGTTCTCTACCGCACCAGGTAGTGGTGGAAGATAGTTTTGTGAAGGCTTCTCTTCCTTGCTGTGGGGGAAAAAGGAGAGACACTATTGGTATTAGTGAAATACTCGGAGGGTGCCTCTGGGGAGTTGATGTAGGTTATTTTTGACCGAACCACTATAAATCTTGTGTCTTTTACTTTCCACTACTTTTTACTCTACTTTTTTACTTTAGTTATTTCTATTTGAAAGTGTGGTTGAAGAATTATTTCTATAATAATCTTTTTACAAAAAATCATTAAAGTTTTTATCAGTTTAAAAATTAAAGAGGGAAATTTTTAATTACCAATTCACCCCCCTCTTGGTTAGCTACTGGGATATAACATTAGGTCTAACAACCTAATTCATATGGAACAAAGTTTCAACAAGTGATATCAGAGCCTAGTTTCAAATTCATAAGTATAAAATATTTTTTGATTAACGACTATGTCTACATTTGGAAAATGAAACACACTTGAGGGTTACTCTATAAAAAGACCTCCATTGTTCGACAATATTCCTTTTGATTTTTTAGAAAACACGCATGTCTTCATTTTTACAGTCACTTAATTACCGTATGTGGATCTTAGTTCAGGAAGGGTATACTAAACCAACTAGATTAATTGATGGAGTTAGAGTTGAAACACCTTTTGCAGACTGGACAGTAGAAGAACGTGACTTAGCAAAATTGAATACCAAATACTTGAATAATTTATTTTGTGCACTTAAATCTGAAGATTACATTGCAAGAGTGGAAAGGACATATAGGATAGACTTTGTATAACTTATGAGAGGACTAATGAAGTTAAATAGTCTAGACTTAATATCTTGTTGCATAACTATGAAATGTTTCGCATGAAACCCAATGAATCTATTTCTGACATGTACACAAGATTCACCTAAATAGTCACCTCTTTACATGTGTTTGGTTAAGAATTAACGAATGCTGAAATAGTTAATAAGATACTTCGCTGCTTACCTACTGCTTATGATGCTAAAATAACTACAATTATCAAGTCTAGAGATTTAAATATCTATTCTATTGATAATTTTTTGGATCACTAATTACTTACGATCAAGGTGTGAGTCAAAGAAAGATTGATGCAGGTGAACCCCGAAGGGAGAAGAACATTGCAATGAAAGTGGAGGAGTCAGAGAGTGAACTCTCACAACTTGAGGATGAAGATGATATCTCACTACTGACTAGATAATTTAGAAGCTTTCTAAAGAGGAAGCAAAAGAGACGCCAGCAATGGAATCTAGGTAAATTTAATAAAAATATCCAGGTTTCAAATGATATTATTTGCTATGAGTGCATGAAACCTGGTCATATTAAGTCAGATTGCCTAAAACGTAAAGCCACTCTTAGCAAGGAGAATGTAGAGGAGAAACCAATTATGAAGAAGGACAAGAAGAAATTCCAAAGAACTTTCTGGGCGGACTCAGCTTTAGACCCGTCAAAGACTAAAAAGGAAGGGGAAGTCACTAATCTGTGCTTAATGGCCGATAGTCTTGATCAGCCAGATTAAGAAGAGGTATGTGACTTAACTTATACTAAACTTTTTGAAGTCTCTGAACATATACATAATGCATATATGAAGTTAAAGAAAACACATACTAGTCTGAATTTAAAACTTCTGGAAATACAAAAAGAACAAGAGATCCTTAGAAAAGATCATGCTTTAATTGATGACAACCACATGAAATTGCTTGATGAGTATGACGACTTGAAAAAAAATTATGAAAGTTTAAAATCATCCTATGCAGAACTTGAAATAGAATTTAAAAATTTTAAGGATGAATCTGAGAGCAAACTTTATAGAATTAATTATACGAATCAAATTTTTGAAGATATGAATTCATTTTAAAAATTGAAGATAAAAGCTTTTGAGGATAATAGGATACCCCCTAGACTTGAAGATTTCAATGATCTTATTTTATATCCTAAATTTATGCAATCCCTTAATAGACAGATTAATAGTAGAAGACTTAGAAATCTATATTCAAAAGTCAAATGTAATAATTATGGATTATTTGGACATATAGCTCACACCTGTACATTAAAGAAGAAAATATATTTGGAGTGGAGACCTAAGATGCATAAACCTAGACATATCATACATGTATCTGATTATAAATTGCCAAAAGGAGAACCCAAACTTGTTTGGGTTCCCAGGTCTAACGTTTGATAATTTTATAGGATCGCTCTTACATAAGACCTCGTGAGAGCATATGGAACCTGGACAGTGGTTTCTCAAAGCATATGGCTGGAGATACTACACAATTCATATCACTGGAAGCTAGAAGTGGAGGCAAGGTTACACTTGGAGATAACACCACAAGGAAGGAGGTTGGGTCAAGTATGATTGGAAATTTTAAGAATTTTTTTATTAAAAATGTACTACTGGTTGAAGGCTTAAAACATAATCTTCTAAGCATAAGTCAGCTTTGTGATAAAGATTATTGTGTGAAATTCTTTCCTACAAGCTGCATATTAAGCCTTAATGGTATTGATGTTTTAAATGGCATAAGGGTAAATAATGTGTATATGCTAGATTTGAATTGCCTTAAAACTCCTACTTTTTATTTAAAAACTATTTTTAATGAGTCATGACTTTTGCATAGGAGACTTTGTCACTCTAGCATAAAAAACCTTAGAAGGATTATCCAAAAGAACCTAGTGAGAGGTATACCAAAACTAGACTTTACTAAGGACCACCTTTATGATGCAAGTCAATTAGGAAAACAAGTGAAATCCTCTTTCAATCCAGTAAGGATCATAGAACTAGTAAACCATTGGTAATTTACATATGGAACTTTTTGGACCAGTTGGAACTGTAAGTCTAGGAGGAAAGGTATACAGATTTGTGATTAAGGATGATTATTCTAGATTCACTTGGGTTATATTTTTATATCATAAAAGTGAATCATTTGAGGAGTTTGGAAATTTTTTAACATGGATTCAAAGTAAATTAGGTAGTGAGATTTTAACAATTCAAAGTGATCATGGAGGAGAATTTGAGAATGAAAATTTTGATAATTTTTGTAAGAAGAAAGGAATTGATCATAATTTTTCTGCACCTAGAACCCCTTAGCAGAATGGGGTAGTCAAAAGGAAAATCATAATATTAATTGAAGCCGCCTGAGCCATGTTGGCAGAATACCCACTTCCTAAACATTTTTGGGCTGAGGCTGTTAGCACTGTATGTTATGTTCTGAATAGGGTGAATGTAAGATCAAAATTAAATAAAACA